AACAACCCAAAGTAGCATATGCACCCTTATGTTCATTGCAGCACTATTCACAATGTCTAAGACATGGAAACAATCCAAGTGCCCATCAACTGATGATTGGATAACGATGTGAGATATATATACATACACAATGGAATACTAATCATTCATAAAAAAAGACAAATTCATCCCACTTGCAATAACATGGAAAGAACTGCAGGGAATTACGCTAAGCGAAATAAGCCAGTCTGAGAAAGACAAACATCAGATGATTTCACTCATATGTGGAATATAAACAAATACATGGACAAAGAAAACAGTTCAATGGTTACCAGGGGAAGGGGGCTAGGGGGTGGGCACAGAGGGTGAAGGGGAGCACTTATGTGGTGACAGTCAAGAAAAAATGTACAAGTGAAATCTCACATTGATGTCAACTATTATGAACTCAATACAAAAAATTTTAATCCATAAAGTTATCCATGCCTATCCTGGTGGAAATGCAGCAATAGTTTATAAAACGCACTGTTGAACATAAGAATAGTTGAATAAATAATAACAAATGTAAAAAAAATTCACTAGAGGGACCCAATAGCAGAGTAGATGATACAGAAGAAGGGATCAGCAAGCTAGATGAAAGACTAGAGGAAATCACCCAAGCTTAACAGATAAAAGAAAAAAGAATTAAAAAGAACGAGAACAGTCTAAGGGAACTCTGCAACGATATCCAATGCACTAACATTCATATTGTATGTTTCCCAGAAGGAGAAGAGAGAGACAAAGAGGCAGAGAATCTATTTGAAGGAATAATAGCTGAAAACTTTCCTTAACCTAAGGAAGGAAACAGACATCCAAGTACAGAAAGCACACGAAGCACCAAACAAGATGAAAGCAAAAGGCTACACCAGGACACATTATAATTAAAATGTCAAAAATTAAGGATAAAGAGAGAATCCTAAAAGTTGCAAGAGAAAGGCAACAAGTAACATACAAAAGAAACCCCAAAAGGCTATCAGCTGACTTCTCAGCCAAAACTTTACAGGCTAGAAGGAAGTGACACAATATATAATATATATACATAAGAATACTTTATCCAGCAAGCTTATCATTCAGAATGTAAGGATAGATAAGGAGCTTCCTAGACAAACAAAAATTAAAGGAGTTTATCACCAAGAAACCAGTTCTACAAGAAATGCTGAAGGGACTTATTTAAGTGGAAAAGCAAAGACCACAAAAAGGGATAAGAAAATTATCAAAGACAAAAGGAATTAAAGATAAAGAGAGAATCCTAAAAGCCATAAGAGAAAGGCCACAAGTGACATACAAAGGAAACCCCATAAGGCTATCTGCTGACTTCTCAGCAGAAACCTTACAGGCTAGAAGCGACTGCCATGATATATTTAAAGTGTCGAAAGGAAAAAACCTACAGCCTAGAATACTCTACCTGGCAAGATTATCGTCCAGAATTGAATGAAAGATAAAGAGTTTCCCAGACAAGCAAAAACTAAAGGAGTTTATCACCAAGACACTAGTTTTACAAGAAATGCTAAGGGACTTATTTAAGTGGAAAAAAGAAGACCACAAATAGGAATAAGAAAATTATTTCTTTAAAAAAGGCAATAAAATCCCTGGTAAAGGCAAAAATTCAATAAACGTAGTAGATCAACCAACTATGAAGATAACATGAAGGTCAACAAACAAAGTACTAAAATTACCTTTTTCTATGATAAGAGGGTAATGGATACACACACACACAAAGCATTAGACATAATTTTAAAAACATAAAATGTGGGAGGAAGGGAGTAAAAGACTAGAGCTTTCCGAAAGAGGTCAAACTAAAGAGACCATCAACTCAATATGGATTGCTACATACATAGGTTATTATATATGAACCTCATTGTAATCACAAACCAAAAACCTATACTAAATACAGAAATAATTAAGACAAAGGAACTCAAACATAATACTAAAGAAAGCCATCAAACCACAAGAGAAGAGAGCAAGATGAAAGGAACAGAGAATAACTACTAAAACATCCAGAAAAAAAGTAACTAAATGGCAATAAGGACATACTTGTCAATAGCTACTTTAACTGTCAATGGACTAAGTGCTCCTAGCAAAAGGCATAGGGTGGCTGATTGGATTAAAAAAACAAGACTCAATTATATGCTGCATACAAAAGTCACACTTCAGACCTAAAAGACACTCACAAACTGAAAGTGAAGGGATGGAAAAAGATACTTCTTGCAAATGGCAATGAAAAGAAAGCTAGGGTAGCAATACTTAGACAGAAGAGACTTTAAAACAAAAACTGCAAGAAGAGACAAAGAAGGGCACTATATAATGATAAAGGGAATAATCCACAAGAGGATATAACACTTGTGAATCTCTATGCACACAACACAGGAGCACCTAAATATATAAAGCAATTACGAACAGAAATAAAAGGAGAAATAGAGAGTAACAAAATAATAGTAGGGACTTTAACACTCCACTTACACCAATGGATCATCCAAACAGAAGATCACTAAGGAAACAATGGCCTTAAATGACACATTAGACTAGATGGACTTAGTAGATACATGTAGAATATTGCATCCAAAAACCACAGAATACACATTCTTTTCAAATGCACATGGAACATTCTTCAGGACTGATCACATGTTAGGCCACAAAAAAAAAGTCTCAAAAATTTAAGAAGATTGAAATAATACCAAGCATCTTTGCTGACAACAAAGGTACAAAACTAGAAATGAACTACAGGAAGAAAATCAGAAAAGCCACAAATAGGTGGAGATTAAACAAAATGCTACTGAACAACAATTGGGTCAATGAAGGAGTCAAAGGAGAAATAAAAAATACCTGCAAACAAATGAAAATGAAAATATATGGGATACAGTAAAAGCAGTTTTAAGAGGGAAGTTTATAGCAATACAGCCTACCTCAACAAACAAGAAAAATCTCAAATACACAATCTAATGTGTACCTGAAGGAACTGGAAAAAAGAACAAAGCCCAAAATCAGCAGAAGCAAGGAAATAATAAAAATCAGAGCAGAAATAAATGAAATAGACACTTAAAAAAATAGAAAAAATTAATGAAACCAAGAGCTGGTTCTTTGAAGAAATTAACGAAATTAACAAGCCTTTAGCTAGAGTCACCAAGAAAAAAGGATAGAAGTCTCAAATGAAAAAAATCAAACATGAAAGAGAAGAAATTACAACAGACACCTAAGAAATACAAAATATTATGAGAATACTATGAAAAGCTATATGCCAACAAATTGGATAATCTAGAAGAAATGGATAAATTCTTAGACTCATACAACCTTCCAAAACTGAATCAAGAAGAAACAGAGAATTTGAATAGACAGATCACCAGTAAAGAGATCAAAAAGTAATCAAAAACTTCCCAAAGAATAAAAGCCCAGGACCAGATGGCTTCCCTGGTGAATTTCTACCAAACATTCAAAGACTTAATACCTATCCTTCTCAAACTCTTCCAAAAAATTGAAGAGGAGGGGAAGCTTCCTAACTCATTCTATGAAGCCAACATTACCCTGATACCAAAACCAGACAAGGATGACACAAAAAAAGAAAATTACAGGCCAGTATCACTGATGAATATCGATGCAAACATCCTCAACAAAATCCTAGTAAATCAAATACAACAATACATTAAAAAGATCATACACCATGATCAAGTGGGATTTATTCCAGGGATGCAGGGATGGTTCAACATCCACAAATCTATCATGTGATACACCACATTAACAAAATGAAGAATAAAAATCACATGATCATCTCAAGAGATGCAGAGAAAGCATTTGACTAGATATAGCATCCAGTTATGATAAAAAAACTCTGAATAAAATGGGTATGGAAGAAAAGCACCTCAACATAATAAAGGCCATATGTGACAAACCCACAGCTAATATCATTCTCAATGGAGAAAAACTGAAAGCTATCCCTCTAAGAACAGGAACCAGACAAGAATGCCCACTTTCACTACTCTTATTTAACGTAGCATTGGAAGTCCTAGCCAGAGCAATCAGGCAAGAAAAAGAAATAAAAGGGATCCAAACGGAAAGGAAGAAGTGAAACTGTCACTATTTGCAGATGACATGATTTTATACATAGAAAACCCTAAAGAATCCACAAAAAAGCTTTTAGAAATAATAAATGAATACAGTCAAGTTTCAGGACACAAAGTCAACATACAAAAATCAGTTGTGTTTCTATACACTAACAACAAAGTAGCAGAAAGAGAAATTAAGAATACAATCCCATTTACAATTGCAACAAAAATAATAAAATACCTAGGAATAAACTTTCACCAAAGTGGTGAAAGATCTGCACACTGAAAACTATAAAACATTGCATGTTGAAAGAAATCGAAGACACAAAGAAATGGAAACTATTCCATGCTCTTGGATTGTAAGAATTAACATAGTTAAAATGTCCATACTTCCTAAAGCAATCTAAAGATTCAACGCAATCCCTATCAAAGTTGCAATGACATTTTTCACAGAAATAGAACAGAGAATCCTAAAATTATACGGAACAACAAAAGACCCCAAATAGCCAAAGCAACCCTGAGAAAAAAGAACAAAGCTGGAGGTATCACACTCCCTGATTTCAAAATATACTACAAAGCCATAGTAACCAAAACAGCATGGTACTGGCACAAAAACAGACACACAGATCAATGGAACTCAATGCTAGGAACTGACTGCTTGCTCACCTTTCACCACCCAGCTCACGTGTGACCACTCAGCTGGAGACAACAGACTGCCACCCTGCTGTGTCCACCGAGACAGAAGACCTACCTGCTGTGTCCATCAATCGCTGTGCCGACAGAGCAGTCCCACGACTATTGTAAAAGGGACATTTCAATCCTATGTGAAACATCCTCTCTGGGGGTACATAACCACTCTGTGCACCCCACTTCTGTGGTGCCCTTTCTTCCTTCGGGAAGAAAGGCCCCGGGTTATAATCCTCAGATTTAAGCTCAGAATAAACTCACCCGAATTTTCATTTATAGATTGTTCATGGATTATTTTCGTCGACAGGACCCAGGTGGTGTTTGTGAAAACGGAGAGCTGACTCCATCTTAGAGGCTGAGCGAGAAGAACTTCTGATCCACTGGAAGTAGAGGAAGGAGCGGTGTAAATTCACTCTAGACCACTTCAGAGTATTTACGTGGTTCTCAGGATGCTTTGTACAGTCTTACAGGTTCCAGGAGTTAAACTCACACGTTTTCCTCTTCTATTTGTATATTTGCATTCAAATATATTTGTGTGGTTTTACCTTTCAAAACTAACGAATCTTTAACAGGTGGAATGAACTGCAGAGCGCGTGGGAAAGAGGACTAGAGGCAACCCGCGTACACAACGCCTCAAAGCAGCTCGGACTAGAGGGCACCTGGCGCCCACTGCACGCGGCCGCAGCGCCACCGTCAGCCCGGGCGCCCCCTCGGCCCACACACGCCCCTCTGAAGAGGCCAAGGCCATGGGGACAAGCCGACGCCACTCTGCCTCACGCCCGCCAGGCCCTCTGCCACACCGGCAGACGCAGGGGGCGAGCGCGCAGCGGGGTGACGTCAGCGCCAGCGCAGGCCGGGACGGCGTGACGTCAGCGCGCCGCGCCCCGCCCGCTTGAGGCGCCTACAGCCCGCGAAGCTGAGGGCTGAGGGCCGAGGGCCGGGGAGAGGCAGGGACTTGCGCCAGCTTCCGCAGCACAGCGGGGTTCCAGGGAGTCTCGTCCTTCTCTTGGCCATAGAAGGCGCGTGGTCCTGCTCTTCCTCAGGAAGTGAGGGGACGCGTGGAGGGCGCCTGCACGCTGCCCCGAGTCGGGCCTGGCCGCCGCCCGGCGCGACCGACGCTAACTTCCAGGGCCCAGCGCCTCGCCACGGCCCCCGGACGCCGAGGTGGCGGCCGGAAGCCGGACGCCGGGCGCGGGCCCGCCCGGACCGGAAGCGCGGTCGTGCGCCCGGCTCGCCCGCTGAGTGCGCGTCCCCGTGCCCCGGCCTGCTCGGCTCCGTTTCCTCGAGACGAGACTTCATCGGATGACCTCTTCCTCTCTGGAATCGATTCGTTTCTTCAATTAGAAAATACCAAGCGTTAATAACAACTAGTCATCACCAGACGGTGCCAGTTTAGCCTTCTCGGCACACGGCGGGACGGTGCTTCCCGGCCCGGTCCCGCGGCGCGAGGGCGCGCGCGACCCTTTCAGACGCCGCCGCGCGGAGGCGCCCGGAGCGCTCCCCTCCCGGCAGCCGGCGACGCGGGGCCGGGCGCGGCTCCTCCAGCGCGCGTCCCGGGGCGTCCAGACGGGAGAGCCCCGTGGTGGCCCGTGATGAATGTGTAGTTTGGGAAAGGGGTGAACTTCCGGTGTTTCAGGGCACTGGGCCTGGGGTGATTGCTCACCGCGGCATAACCCAGCCTCCCCTTGATACCGGCGGCTACAAGCAGTGAGCAGAAACAAAGCTGGTCTCTCCCAGTGGAGTGTATTCCAGAGGTCTCTCTCAGATGCAGATCTGACCACGTCCCCCTCCGTGCTTCAACTTTGAATATCTTCCCACTGCTTGAAGGAGAAAGTCCAACTCAGCCTGGCATCTGGACCTTTCACCGCTTGGCCCCAAATTGCGCTTCTGTCCCCTCTGCCACCCATGTTATGGTCCAGCCAAACTGCTCCTGGCTGTTTATTGCCTTAATCCGTGTGCTTTCAAGCCCCTGCCTGAACCTTCGCCCATGCCGTGCCTTCAGCCTCGGATGCCCTCCGCCCGAGCGTGCACATCCTGGTTTACTCCCCTGTGCTTGTCAAATGCCTCACGCCACCCCTCCAAACCGTTTTAGAACACTCATAACATTCTTAATTACATGTTTCAGTGACTGTCTTCCTCCAGAGTGTGAAGTCCTTCGGAAAGAAACTCCATCTTACTCACTATTGGATCAGGCATACGTAAAGACTTAAATATTTGTTGAATGAGCGGATGGCTCATTGTGATGTGGATTAAGGCGGCCCCAGCTAGAGAAACCCAAGGTGACCTGGCCTACATGCCAAACTATATGACCCAGTGGACTTTTTTTATGGTATGAATTAGGACCGCCCCAGGGAGAGAAGCCCAGGGCATCCTCACCTACATGCCGATCTATATGGCCAGATTCGTATGTAAAGTTATATGACCGCACAATAACCAGACCCCATCTGCACTGAAATCATTTAATGACTTTTTACATCATCTTTTCTTTTTTCCAGTAAAAATAAGTCACGTACCCATGCCTTATAAAATTAGCCCTAACACTCAACTCAGGGCAGCAGAAGCTCTGACTGCCCATGGGTCCTGTCCCCATGCTATTCCACACTATTCTCTAAATAAAAGAGCGCTACTGCCAGATCTTGAGAGTCTAAGAAATCTTTCTTTCTACGCCTCGGCTCACCGACCCCGCATCATTTCGACCCTTCAAGACTCAGTAGAAAGGCTGTCAATTCCATGTATTCGTTTCTTATTGCTGCTGTAACCAATTACCACACAATGGCTTAAAACAACACAAATTTATTGTCTTACAGTTCTGTAGATGTTGACAGAGCTTTGTTCCTTTCTGGAGGCTCGTGGGAGAGAATCTTTCCTTGCTTTTTCCAGCCACTAGAGGCTGCCCACATTCCTTGCCTGTGGTCCCCTTATTCCAGCTTCAAAGCCAACAATGTTGCATCTCTGAGCATTCTTCCATAGCCGCATCTCCCTTTAACTAGGAATTCCACCCGCAGAGTTCCTCCAATTGTAAGGATCCATGTACTTAGATTAGGTTTACCTCGGTAATCCAGGATAGTCTCCCCATCTCAACATACTTACGTTAACCACGTTTTCCTTTTGCCGTGTAAGGTGACATACTCAGCAGTTCCAGGGATTAGAGCAAAGACATCTTTGGGGGCCATTATTCTGCCTACGACGTTACAGTCTTTCCTTCCTTCTGTCTCTAGCTTGGCATTTACCTTTCAACGTCAGTCTTCCCTAAAAAACATTCAGGGGTTTCCTAGAAGTAGGGTAAGGTCCAAACTTAGACACTTTCGAGGGTGAAAGGGAGTACCATTAACATTTACACCAGATCAGCAGGTGTACGCTGCTCCAAGCAGACACGACAGGGTGAAATGGATGTGTGACCTACCCCGAACTGGAGCAACGTTATTATGGGCCTCTACCCTTCACCCTGATCTCTTAGAGAGAGATCAAGGAGATGCTGGGAGGCTTTACTTTCCTCAGCAAATCCCTGCTCTAGACTGGAGATGGGACACTTTATCTGGCTCAACAGGCTAAACAGAATCTTTTTCTCCACAGCTTTAACAATATAGAAATAACTGTATAGAAACAATATATTATTTATATTAGGGACATTAGACTTTATGATATATATTGCAAATGTATAAATCAAGTACATTATCAAGTATATATCAAATTCACAATTTGACATTCGTCTTTCAATTTTGTTGATGATGATAAAGCCTCTTTTAGCAGGTAGTTACAATATACCTTGTAGCCACATGATGAAAGATGAAAAGAATTCAAGGTCAGGAAACTGGGGATCTGCCCATATTGGACTTGCAAATGATGGTTTTCAACTTTGAGGAGAAAGAAAAAAATAAAGTAAGGGTCCCATAGCTTTTCCTTTATAGGATCAAGGTTTCCATTTCAAAGTCTGTTAATCTTAGATCATAGATACGGCCAGAAGATATTTCAGGAAATCATTCTGTGATTTTATTATACAAATAAGTTGTGTTTTACCCAAGATTAGTCATTACTTTACAGTTGCATAGATAGTGGCTTTCCCATTCTATCACATCCTTGACATTTGTCTGTATAAGAGAGCTTTCCTTTCCCCCACCCATACCTTTTCTTTCCTTTTCCTTTTCTTATATTTTTAATGACTATCACTATGGACTTACAGTTTTTTGTTTTTATTTATTCAATGTGTTATAATCCATTACCATCTGTATTCTTTTTTGATGCTCAAATTGTGTCAGATTTGGTCAGTGGGCATCCCTTTCAGCTGCTCCTCCAACATTTTGACCTGTCTCCATCAGCCTTTGAGTTCTTTCTTGTTTCCAGACACAAGGTATTTCAGGCTCCCCTTGTGTTTTACCAGCCCCAGGTCTGAACTGCCATTTCTCCAAGGAGCTCTGCTTCTTTTCAGAGAGGTATAATATTTCAAAACCAAGATCTAGACTTTAGTTGTACTCATTGCTCCTGGGGTGTCATTGCCTCTTGAGCCTTTTAGTTTCATTCTTTTGTTTGGATGACTAGTATTTCACTCTGGGAATATACCTTTTTTTTAAAAAAACAGTCTCCAATGGAAGAACATTTAGGTTATTTCCAATATTTTGCTATTACAAATAATGCCACAATGAAGAACCTAGTGAGATTGCTAGATTAAAAGGTAAATGCAATTGTAGCTTTGTTAGATATTGCCAAATTCTCACAGAGGTTATACCATTTTGTATTTCCACCAGCACTGGATGAGATTATCTGTCTTCCCACAACCTCACCAAGAGAATTACAGAATATGTTGTCAAATTTACACATTTTGAAAACATGAGAGGTAAGGAGTGGTATCTAAACGTAGTGTTAATTTGAATCTCTCAAATAGTGAAGCTAAAGATTTTTTTCATTTGCCTAAGGTTATTTTAATGTCATTTATTGTTAACTGTGTGTGTGTCTTTTTGTACTTTTGTCTATAGAGTTTTGGTTCTTTTTTTGTTGATTTTTTTAGTGTTCTTTTATATTAGGAACAAAAGACCTTTATCTATGATATATAATGCAAATATTAACTCCAAGTTTGATATTTGACTTTTAGCTTTATGATGTTTGCCACAATTTCTTTCATTTTTATGTAGTCGTGAATTTATCAATCTTTTCTTTTATTGTGTCTTGATTTTGAGTCATAATTAGGCAAAAACTACAAAAAAAACCTATAAATCTTGGCATTAATTTTTTCCTGCCTTGAGTGATTTGAACTCCACAATGTTATTTGTTTTGATGTCTTCAACACATAATGCTGTAGTCATCACTCATCTAATGACTAGAAGTTTTTACACCTCTTTTCTTCTTTCTTTTTAAATAATTCATTTAGAATAACCTGATGTTGACCTTTTAGAAAGGAATTTGATAATATGTATTGAGGCATAAAACATGTTCTCACTTTTCAACCTTGGAATACTATCCTAGAGAAAAAATCCTAAACCCAGTACCTAATGTGGTGTCTGGCACCTATTAGATATTCAGTCACTATTTGCTGAATGAAAGAATAAATATGAGGAAGGGGAAATACATGCATGAACATGTTTGTTGTTGAATTATTTACATGAATAATTGTGAGCAATCTAAAAAACCAATAATAGAAACATGGTTAAGTAAGCTATGGGGTATCTACTTCATGGAAAATGATGTAGCACTGAAAAATGATGGTTCTGTAAGATATATAATAATAAAGTAATGATATATAATATATGGATATGATTATAGATGAAAAAAGCAAATTAACAAATTATCAAAAGAGAGTAGGAAATTGATTACATACAAAAGATCACAGTAAATGCTTCTCACAATTGTAGGTGGCTGCACAGTTTCAGTCTCGGATCTCTTCCTTGTGACTGAGGATAATAATAGTGCTACCCCACAGAGCTAATGTGAGAATTAAATGAGCTAACACATATAAATGTTCAGAGTAGAACCCGCCCTAGACTGAATGCTCGGTACATGCTCGCTTTTTTGGTTTCTGGGCGTTTTTTTCTTAAATTATAAAAACTTGGTTACAGTGCCCCCCTGTGTCTGTACATTGCAATATTTCTGGTCTTTAAAAGAGTTTCTTATTACTTTACATCAATGTATTTGAAATGAGTCCTAGGGCCATGCATTGTCCACTCATGTTTTATGTAGGATATGAAGATTAAACAGCTCTCTGAAAATAATGTTTTTTCCCCTAAATATAAAAGTAACACATGCTCACTATACAAAATTTGGAAAATACTGAAAACTATAAGGAATTCTATCCATCTATAATGTAACCATCCAAACATTTTGGTGTGTTTTAGATTTTCTATGTGAACTTATATATATGTGGGTTTTATTTCTACAAATTAAGGTCAGACTATTTTTTACACAAGATTAAATTTTAGAATAAATATAAAGTGTATCCTTTTCTATAAAACTAGAACAGAAAGGTAACTCTGTAGATAATGGGGGTTATCCCATGGTACAAGGTACATAGAGGTACATATCCCAAGGTACATAGAGGATGGTATCTCATCACCACAATCTCTCATGTTCTCCCTTAATAGGCAACTACAGTAGGTACTTTGGGCTCTAGTGGGAAAATGCTTTAAAGTGAAAGAAAATCCAACCTGATTTAGAAATATAATGCCACCTTGTGTATAATTTGAAGAGGGATATATGAGAATCAGTTTGTTGTACTAAGGAGGCTTTCTTCTTATCTAATATATTATTTAATATAATAATGAGTTGGTAGCATATCTCTATTTTAATATTATTTATTTTCTGTATATAAAATGTAGTCTTTTGTGTAAGAAATAGGGGAAAATAAGAATACTTATATGTATTTGCTTATTTTGCAATGAGAAAACAAAAGGATAAATAAGAAAATAACAAAAATGTTTACAGCTTGGGGACAGGTGGGGATGGCTACGATGTGAGCCAGACTTCTCTGAAAATACCTTTTTATATCGTTTTCACTTTTTTGAAGAAGAAGAAGATTGGCCCTGAACCAACATCTGACGCCAATGCTCCTCTTTTTTTTTGCTGAGGAAGATTGACCCTGAGCTAACACCCGTGCCCATCTTCCTCTACTTTATATGTGGGATGCCTACCACAGCGGTGTGTAGGTCCGCACCCGGGATCTGAACCAGCAAACCCAGGGCCGCTGAAGTGGAAAATGTGAACTCAACCACTACACCACTGGGCTGGTCCCTGTATAGTTATTAATTTTGAGTAATGTTAATATTCTACAAATTCAAAAATTAAAATTAATATTAACTTAAAAAG